TAAGGGACACTTTCAGCTTCCCAAACTCTGTGGTGTCAAGCTTCCTCATACTGAGTCACTGCCCATCTGATCCAACTTGCGGAGCGCATGACTCTGACGAGGACGAAGAAGAGGAGGAGGACTCTTCGTCTGACTCCTTTGTCTTTGGGAGTTTAAAACATTTAGCGCACAACTTGCGATCTGTGGGACGTGTGTCCGTGAGATCGTAGTCGGCGTGGTGCCTGGCAAACGGCCAAGAACATGCAGCTCGCCATAAGTAGTGGGGCAGGTGCGGACCTGAGCGACCCACTTTGTGAACCTTCCCGTCCGGAGCAAGGTTTACGACGAACAAAGGGCATGCTGGCACAGGTACGTCAGGTACCAAAGTGTTTGCGGCTTCGCACTCGGCTAAGACTTCAATCTTTTGCGCGGTGAAGTCTGTTGTAGCCGTGCGATTTGCAGAATCCGGCACTTTGGCAAGAATGGCCGCGAGTTCGGCTCTTGCAGCTGCCAGGGAAGTCTGCAAGGTGGCCTCCTGTGCGAGGCCAAACAATTGAGATAGCGGTGCGTCTCGGACGTATCGAAGGAAGCAATCCGATCCCCATCGACCAAAGAGCTGTATACGCCACAGTTCAGTGTGCGTATGTGCAAGGTGTATGGCACCTGTGGCTCTGGCCGAATGACCGGTAAACCTCCTAAGGCCTGTGTCCGTGAGGATGGGAAGTTTGAGCTGTTTGCCCAAATGCTCAAACGTGTCGGCCCAGCCGGCTTTGGTCGATGTAGACCCGTCCGGTTGTGGTAGGAGGTGAAGAAAACCGTGGCGTTTGCACCATTCAACTTGGGCAGACATGAGGTGAAAGGGACATAGGCGGTCTTTGCTCTTTTCACTGCACGTGCACATGTGAGTTCTGACGGCTCCCAGAGCTTTCCAGTCTGCTTTGCTAGATGGAAGTTTCCAGTGTATCAGACCAGTGCTGTCATCCACGGTGACGTGGGACACATTGGCATAGCTTGCTTCGATTTCTCGAAGGAGCCACCACGATGCCAGCAATGTTGCCCGGACAGGAAAAGCTGGGCCCCCAGGTGCAACAGCCGGCTCGGTGTGCTGTAGTGCTGCCAGTTCCTTCATTGGCAGGGGTTGGGCTTGCTTGGCAGGCCCGCGGCCGCGCTGACAAGCTCGCTTGGCTTGTTTTGCCGCCAGGTTGAGCTGTTGTGTCCACGCGTGTCCTGCGCTGATATGAGCTTGGCGGGCAGTTTCCAGATACTGTTCTGTCGAGCGATATCCCGCTTTGTCTAATGCCCCTGTCACTGTGAAGATGAGCTGAGGTGTGAGCACGAACGGTGTCGAGAATCCAGCTGCCGATGCTATTGCCGCCCAGGTTTTCTCTTTAGATTGAATGGGCAAACGCGATGATTCAGCTTTGGCTCGCTTTCCGATGTGCTCTGCGCACTCGTTTGGGTGCAGAGTTGCTTCATGAATAGCCAACTTCAGGGAGCCCCTGGAGTAAGGTTTTGCCTCCAGACAGTGGCTCTCCTCCTGCGTGGTTGTGCCATGGCTTGGTGGTGCGTGACAAACCACCGGGCCTTCGTCCAATGGCCGCAAACCTTTCGGTGGAGCCTGGACTTCTGGCCTCTTTGGATCGTACAGGAAACGTGAGGGACCCAAAGAGCGTTTCATGCTTGAGCCATCCCTATCACGTCCGCCACTAAATTTCTTGAGTACGATCCGCTTTAGGAGCTGTTTGACCCGTTTTGTTTATATGTGTGTGGGTTTGACCAAGCACACAACGGACTCCTGCGCTTTTCTCTTCGAAGGGTTTGAGCGGTCTCGGGGAGAAGCCAAAACTCAGGACCTACTTCAATGGGAACGCGTGTTGCGCCCTGAAGGTTCTCAGGAAAAGGTGGAGGATTGGGGTCATGTTGTCGACTGAGAGGGTCTGCAGTCTTGTTCAGCTTGGTGTTGATGTGTTGGAGTATGGTGAACTCGTATTTCTCGTTCGCTTGGTCCAGTGCTATCTCCCTGGCGACCATCGACAGTTCTGGGGAGCTGGCTTTGCCCTTTGCAATGAGGTAGAGGGCGCCAATGTTGTCCGCCTTGACACGTACCACTGACCCAATCGGGTGTTTGGTGAGCCACGTCCGAGCGGCTAAAAGTAGGCACAATGCTTCCCAGAGAGTCATGTGTTTCGGGATGCCAGGGATTGCCCCAGTTCGGAGGATGAATTCCGGTGGGATAGGACACGAAAAGAATTCTTTGGGTTCACCTTGTTCCAACATAACTGCACCCAATCCCCACGTGGAGGCATCCGTAAGGATGATCACTCCCGAGGTCGGACGGAACGCCCGAAGAGTGCGCACCAGCGGAATCTGTTTTCCCTCCAGCACGGCTCTGATCCATTCTAGGGCGTGCCTTATGCGGCGAGTGTGCACAACATTTCTGGTTCTAAAATTAGAACCGTCATTCGTTGTGGCAAGCACTGCCCACAGGGCTCCCAGAAACGGACGCATGAGCGGCACAATGCCTGCAACGAAGGATAGAGCTCCCGCTAGAGATTGTAGCTGTTTTCTTCCTACAACCGGTTTTGCCAATATTGTGTCAATCTTCTGAACTAACTCCGCAACTTTATCCGCAGGTATGGTCACTTTTATGGTTTTGGTGTCGTGGCAGGCTTTGATGAGGGCACCAATCCATTTGACTTCGTTTCCAGCATCAGTCTTCTCCAGTTTGATGGGGAACCCAGTGATTGCAGCCCATAGCAGGGACTTTCCCAGTAGTGTTTTGAATGCGGGATTCTGTGAATCGAACACCATGATGGGATCGTCCACGTAAACCTGCATGGCAACCTCGGGGTTTACAACTGCGAGCGTTCGTCCAAACCAGGCAGCGAAACGTCCCCACAAAGTTGGTGAAGAAACGGACCCGAACACCAAAACGTCGAATGTGAGAATTTGTTGGCGGCCATCTATGTTCACCACGGCAGAGGTATAGGCCCTGTCTTTTCCCGCGGGAATGTTGTGGAATGCATCGCGGACATCAATTGCGAAGAATGAAGGTGTTCCTCCTCTTCTGAATACGTCCAGAGCGTCTCCTACAACATCGCTAAGGCGGGGAAGGAGAATTCTCTCGCCTTGTGAACACAATTTGTTGACACCACTTTCTCTAAGGTCCCAAATGATGCGGGCTTTCCTCTTGCCAGCCCTCTCTTTGACAATTACACCCAGCTTGTTGAAGGTCGGTTCGATCCCCACCTTACACGTTGCCTCCTCGACCGAGTCCGATAATGAACAGAATCCTTTGTCCAACGCATCCCGAACAAGTTGGTTGAGGTCTGATTCAAATTCGTTGGCTGAAGGATGATTTTGCCAGCCTTCAAATTCTCTGGCCAGGAGTTTGGCTGCTTCAAGATCCCACTTCATCGACTCCACCGGCGGGAATATGCCTGTGTTTGGAATAGGTTCCGAGAAACCCAGCGGTGCCCCGGTTTGTAACCAAGAGGCGAGAGTCACTGAGTCCGGATCCCCCGTGGCTTTTCCCCATGCCCAGAAGATCTCGGGTTGAAGTGGGGTACGTGCTGTGGCCGACCGAATGGGCAGACCCTCGATGTCGTTTCCCAACACTTCTAACACCGAACTTCTCAAGTGGTTAATGAGACGTGAGTCCAGTGGTTTTGCCGCTTCGCCATTTAGGAGGTGGTCAACCTGACTGAGAACGGATTCGTGTGAAGAGGCCAGGTGAAGTAGATCTCCTATAGCGTTTCCAAAATGTAGTGATTTTGGGATCTTTGCGGCTGATGTAGCTGGGTTTCGCATTCCTCCTATTGCTGCCTCGTTTTCGATATCTCTGAGCTTCTGAGCTCTATCCAGCAATTGCGGCCCGTAAAAATTGCCGTGCCCTCAGCTTCGTGAGGGTGCGAGCTCTCCTTTCAGAGCTGTGAGCATAGCCGTTGCTCTGGACATGCTGACACTCACTGTGGCTTGGGCCAATGCGTAGTTCAGCTGTGGAGGATACTCTGCCAACGCTTTGCTGGCTCTCTCCTTCTTCCCCTCGTCGTTTGTTCTCCATCTCTGCACCAAGGATTCGTGTGGTGCTTTGTAGGTGGAGCCGTCCGTTCTCGTCCACTGTTGAACTGGGTGGTTGCATCTGAGGTCTCCGATGCCCCAAAAGTTCATGTGGAACGACATCAGCTTTGTGGGCTTCCGAACTTCTGCTCCAAACCTGCATTGGTCAAATTCGGTGATCCATACGTTGAACTCTCTGACGAGGAACTTCAGGGGAATGGTCTTCCATAGGTCCAGCTTGTCTTTGTGATCTGGGTTCTCGATCCAGAAGGCCCTGCCCGCTGTAGCTTGGATTTCCGCGAGCCTTGCTGATAGCGCGATGAGGCGGTTTGCCTCTTTGAGCTGAATCCTTTCCCAGAGGGCCGTATCGAGGGGTTTTGTGCTGGGTTCTGGGTTGGAGGGTTTTTGGTATGGATATGGCCATTTCTGGTTGAGAACCCTGCGTCTGATGTGCACAGAAGGTATGATCCGTGTGAAAATTGCATTTTTGAAGATTTGAAGGCATTTGCTTGTTTGTTGGCACTTGTATGGAGATGTGTTGCATATACACAACCTTGGGCAAACATAGCTATGACACTAATGTTTTTTTTGATGACGTGTTGGAATTAAACGTTTTCTTTGAATAATGTACATGGCTCAAGATCAGCCCTTGGAGCCTTAAGAGAG